ACAGGATGCTGGAGGAGAAGCAAGGGGCAGCAGTGCACCTATTAGTCTCTCTTGTGCATGCACATGAGGCATGGGGGGTGGGGGAAGAGCAGGTTCTCCATGCACATGGCCAAGAACATGATCGTGGAAGGGCTCAGCTATGTTCTTGGTCCAGGAGGGATTGGCAAGCAGGTTTGGTGCCTTCTTGGGAGTTGCAGGCACTGTTCTTGCCACCATAGACTCCAACATCATCCCACCACCCAGCTTGATGGGGATGGACAAAGTGCCAGCTCCAGGGTAGTACCCAGGATAGTGCCACCATTCTGCAGTGTCTTGCTTGTTGGCATCTGCTGCAGATGACCCCAGGATGGGAAAGGCCTGGCTAGGTCCCAGAGCACCAAATTGATCTCAAAGGCCATGACAGACCCAACTGGCACCATCCCAGTTGATGATGTTGCCTGTAGCAGCAACAGAGTTGCTAGTAGAGGCAGTCAGCAGGTCCACAGACATAGCTGTCTCCTCCTCTTTGTGCTTCTTAGCATGTTTGTGTTGATGCTTGCTGGGTCAGTTTGCATTCTTCAAGTGTTTGAGATTGGGTGCATTGCAACAACAGATCTGGCCTTCATGTACAGCATACTGTGCTTGTGTGCAGGGAGAGGATGCTTGCTTCAGGATCTGCAGTTGTTGCTTGACCCAGGCATCCGTCAAACACTCATCAGCATTGTTGACAGTGTGAAAGCAGAGCATTGGCACACCATTGCCCAACAGTGTCTCATGCTGTGCTTCAGGAACAGTGTCGTACAGAACACCGACAAAATTACATGTCCAGGGCCAATTGAGGGGAGTGAAGGCATAATTCCTTATGTACTGTGCTGACACAAAGTTTGCGATGCCAAGAAGGTCATGCACTTTGCACTGGGCAATGAGCCAAATTCTCTCAGCTCATTCAAAAGACATTGGCATCTGGAAGAGTTGCCAATTGATGGCACAGCACCAACTACCTGCAAAATCTTTGTAGAGTTCCTTGACTTCGTGGTTTGGTACAGAAGCAAGGTTCTCCAAAAGATGGCGCTGCAAGTACACATGCATGGCCTTGAGATGTTTGACCCATCACAGATGAACAATTCCAGATTTGTGTGTCTTTGACAGCATGGTTGAGAAAGCTTTGCAGACCAGGATCACCCAATGAACTTTTGCACTGAGGGGATCTGCAGGTGGACCGTCACAATAAGGGCAGTGGGGATGTTTTGGGTCTCATGCCATGGCATAAACTGTCCAGTCCTCCATGGAACATGTCCACAAATTGTGTTCATGCTGGTTGATGTCCCAGCACAGGTCATGGGGTTTGACACCTTTCCCCTCCAGATAACCTCCTCCTCCTCATCATCATCATCCTCTCTCTCCTCTCCTCTCCTCTCCTCTCCTCTCCTCTCCTCTCCTCTCCTCTCCTCATTGTCTCCTCTCCTCATTGTCTCCTCTCCTCATTGTCTCCTCTCCTCATTGTCTCCTCTCCTCATTGTCTCCTCCCTTGACAACATCAATGCTGTTTTGCTTCCCCTCCCCTCCCCCTTTCCCCCCCTCCCAGAGCATGTACCTTTCACAAGGGACAGCTCTGGTGCCAGACACACACAGAGTACTGGGTGTCTTGGCTTCGAGGTTTTCAACTAGTGTGCAAGATGATGCTCTTCCTTACCCTCCTCCCCAAACCAAGTCCTCCATGAGCACTACTCAGGTGCTCTAAGTAGCCGTACATGCATGAAGAAAACAAGTGTCATACCCCTCTTGAGTGAACTACTGATTATGGTGTTCACTCACCACACTCCCCCTTCCTCTCTACAAGAACCTCCAATACCTTTCCTTGACTATGTCTACCATTGATAACATGGACTGGTTTGTCATCCCAGAGAGCCTCAACTATTTGCTCACCTGGCTTGACATTGACCTAATCCCACGACCGGACCCAACTAAGCCTTTGCTCAACACAACCTTCAAGAAGTGTTGCCCACCATCATACACCAGAAGACAAAGGTGGGAGGACTTCAACAATGCATTGGAGGACCATATCCTAACTGTGTACAAACAATGGGAGGTCCTTCTCTGTTGGCAGATGTACTGTAGGGAGTTCATCTTCCAGAAAGGTGTGCATACATCTACCTTCTGACTGTAAACACTACTAACCTCTTTGCAGGCATAACCTATCTCGAATCCTGCATGGTGCCTGAGAGACAAGTGTCCACACTGTCCATGATGTATGATGCCTTCCAGTGCTGTGTGGAAGCCAAGTCTGCCCTGCCTGACCTGCTAGCAGTGTTCCCTATTCTGGAACAGATGGCAGCCAAATGACAAGTATGCTGGTCATCCTCTCCACAGGCAGTAGCTGTTTGCAAATGGGAAAGCACACTGGGCATGGCACTTTGGTGACAAAAAGTCCTTGATGATGACTGGGACAACAGACCTGGAGCACCTGCCCCTTCTGCCTCTCCCAAATGTGAACTTGAGCTGTTTACCTGGCCATTGTTTTCCCCATCCTCTCCTGCAAAGAACTACCAAACATCCAAGTTCAGCACAAATTGCATTCCAGATAAAGGTTGGTGGCCTCATGGGCAACTATGGGAGATAGCCTACCCATTGCCAGATGGCTTCAACTACCCTCCCCTTCAACTTCACAATCCCATAAGCTCTGCAATGCAGAAGAAGATGCACCCAGTGGGTTGCCATCACTGGTCTCCATGACAATTGAACTGGTCGAGATATTCACCTCCAAACCAGTATCAGAGGAAGAGATCACCAGCTCCTTGCAGACATAGAGATCATCCTCCATACTCCAGGCAGGTCACCTTCTCCCTACAGCTGTCAAAGGCAATACTGTAGCCAAAGCTGCTCAGCCTCACCCTCACCCCACAGCCATCACAGGCGTGACCATACCCAAAGTCATTTGGCTTCGCCCTCATGAAGGCATTGCTATGTTTGCTACCCCTCTCCTGCTCACAACATCACAATGAAAGCATGACTGCCCTCCCTTCACCATGTTGTATGCAAGTCCGTAGCTGCAGTGCCTCTTGATCATGCTCATTCCGATGCCAACAGGAAGAGCATGATATCACAACACAAAGACCTCAGCAGAGAGATGGATGAGCTCATGGAGGTGGTGTCAGAGACAGAGGAGATGAAGGCAGAGCTGGAACAGGTGAGGCAGCAGCTGGAGGAAGTGCAACAGAGGTGGAAGGAGCAGCAGTAGCAGCAACTGCAGGAGCAGGATAGCCAGCAGGTCTGGCAACAGCTGCAGGAATCCCTGCAGCTGCAGCGTCAGAAGCTGCGGCAGGAGCAGGAACAGGAACGGCAGGAAAAGGAGTTGTGGGAGGAGGAGGATGTCTTCCTGGAGCAAGAGGACTCCTTGGAGCAGGACACCATCATGGACATCAAGGTGGCTGCCGTCATGAAGCAGGAGGGACCAGAACAAACCTCTGTGTCTGGGAATGCTGCCCCTCCCCTCCCCCCTCCTCCCATCAGTGCTACTCCTGGATTCCCAACTTGATGCCTGGTGTCACCAATTGACTCCCTCAGCTTGTACTGCACTCCCAGTCCCATCCCTGTCCTTCCAAGATTGCCTCGCCCTCCAACACCATCTCCCCCTCTGGTGGCTGCTGTCGTGGAGCAAGGGGAACCAGAACAAACCTCTCTGTCTGAGAATGCTGCCCCTCCCCTCCCCCCTCCCATCAGCACTACTCCTGCATTCCCGACTCAACGCCCAGTGTCACCAATTGACTCCCTCAGCTTGTACCACACTCCCAGTCCCGTCCCCATCCTTCCAAGATCATCTTGCACTCCAACACCACCTCCCCCTCCATCTCCACCACCACCTCCACCATGGCAAGCCTTTTGGCCTCTGCCTTGTAGGGGTTCACCTTACTGCCCCTCTGATCCCAGCACTTGTGATGATGACAATCCAAACTGCATACTGCTGCCAGTGCCAGAAGATTGGAGACCTCTCATTTTTGACAAGGGGGGCTGGTATAGCTACCAGTTCCCTACGCCTCCTCCTCCTCCTCCTCCTCCTCCTCCTCCTCCTCCTCCTCCTCCT